ACGGTCATTACTGTTCCAAGCCTGGACTCTGATCTCCCGGTGTGAGTGAGGATCGGATCCTGATCAAGGGGGCTTCCCCGGTAATCCCTCCGACAGCATTGATTGGGGACGCCTGACTTCTCTGGAATCACTTGGTGCACACCTAGCATCAATAAGCTGCCAACCCATGTCTGTCTATCTGTTGTTCTGAACAGTCCAGTGGCTGATACCCTCACAGTGCTCAGTTGGACTGCGACAGATTTAATCCATCTATCTGTTGTTATTATTTACTATTAGCTCTTTAATACTGCATTATCTGCTTATTGCATTTATCTTTCTGTTAACTGTTGTGTGTGTAAGCTATAATAAATTTGCATTTGCTTCACTCCCAACTCTGCCTCCTTGATCCCGAACCAAACAGCGCAGTGGCTGATAGAGTTGCAGCACACAGACAGCCTGCAACTAAACTGATACTCTCACAGTGCCCAGCTGGCCTATGACAAAATTGGCGTCACGAACAGGGTCGAGGATGGAAAGTTCGGAGGGGAAGAATGTAACAGAATGGGCAGAGGGATGGGACCCGCTGATTGCTTTAATAGAAAAGGTTACGGGTATTAAGAATCCAGGGTGGGATAAAGAGAGGTTGAGACCCACCTGGAGTGATCCCACCACAGTACCCTGTCAGTGGGCTGTGTTCACTGCCATGCAGAAGGGCAGACCTAAGAAAGGATGCCTGTCCTGGCTGCTGGCAACCTGCCTAAGACTGGGAGCAGAGGAAGCCACTCAGCTCCATCAAGAGAACCAATCCCTAAAAAACCAAGTAATCCAGCTTGAGAGGGAATTAAGGGAAGAAAAAGATTTTAACAGTGTGGCATGCAAGGCTGTGTGAGCTACACAGATCCATTTAGAGACTTTAGAACGGAGGGAAGAAAAAATTATGATCGTGCGCATGGCTGCTTCCCTCCAGAAGGGAGTGCAGTTAGCACAGGCTGTGGAGCCATCCTTCTACAAGCGTCTGTACAGAGATAAACCAGAAGTTGCGCTCTGGAAAAATCAAAAAGATAAGATGGATAACGAGCTTAGTGCTAAAACACCCCTGTATGTTCCTGCCCAGAGGGAGGAACCTAGCCAGGCCTTCCCCATCCTGAGGGACAAATTCAGCCAAGTTTTTCCCATAGTAATAACTCATTCAAGGCCGCAAGGATAGAATCCCCGAACAGAGATGAATTCCTTTACCCGTGCAGAAATTAAAAATATTCAAAAGCAGCAGGAGTTCAAGCCAAAAGAGCCAGTAATAGTGAAGGGGCATTTGCAATTTCAGTGAATAGAGTGAATAGAGCCGAAGCCACAAAAATGGTTCTGCGCCCTGAGCTCCAGTTAAATCAGTTTGCAGAAGGTGATAAAAATGTTACTTTGTTTTCTGCTGCACTCCAAGCCACTGCAGCCAGTTATGGTAATACAGAAGAAGAGCTTAACCCTGCCCCTCAGGCATGGGACAATTTAGAGGAGGCTGTCCGCTGCTTGTATCAATTAGCACTAACTAAAATAATTCGTGCAGCAGTTTGGACTCGCACGCCAGATGCAGAAATCATGACAGCACTGTTGTGGAAGAGGTTTTGCTGACGAGCACCCACAAAGTGCACCTCAGCCCTGTTGGCCTTGGAGCCAGAGGCAGTGAATTACCCAGTAAGAAATGCAATCTGGCAATTAGTGCAGCTTTTACCCGTTTTGCAGAAGCCAAGGCTTACCAAGCCAACGAAAACTACCAAGGCCATGGCACTGGCCTCAGTAAAAGATAAACCCCCTGACCCCCCCGAATTATTGAAAAAAGCTGAGAAAGGCCGGCCCAAGACTCCTCAAGCAAAAATGTGGAAAGACTTGTTAGCTGCCTGTTTCAATAAGATGCAAATCAATAAACTGCCCACCAATGTCTTGCAAGGGCTGTGGGCTAAACACTCTACCAAGAGGACAAGCCGAAAAGCGGAGCCTTCTGTGCCACCAACAGTGTCACTGGAGAGATTCTCTGCCCTGAGGGCAAAACTGGTAACATTTTCCCAGGCACATGCGGGGCCGCCAGCCTTTACCTCGCCTAATCACGTGGCCTAGGGAGTCTGGCTGGCCCAACCCCCAAAGAAAGGGCCAAAATTCCGGCAGTAGCAAGCCAGAGACTGGTATCTAAAGTTAATATTGTCGAGGATCAGAGCAGCTGCCGGCAGCTGTGTTCTGATTCCCACCGGAGCAGTAAAACTTTCGCCTTGACAGGCGGGTAATTAATGGATGGGGTGAAATTAACCAGGCACAGACGCGTGTTGGTTATAGGAGATTGTTTACTTACGTCGCCCAGATAGTGACGTGCGACGCAGGCAGAAGGCTTGCGTTGTTTATATTCGAGCGTGTCTCAGGTTACAATCGACCGTGTATGACGAGCGAGATACCGTGAACGACCGGACGAGCCTGCAGGTGGGTTAGGGTACGTCGGGACCGCGATGACGGGGCGTGATTGATGGGTGATCAAACCACCAAGTTACTCTGATGATGGGCTCAGGTTTCTCCTCAGAGATTTCCCCCCCGAGTTCTCCGATTTGGCGGAAGTGCAAGCTGGTTTTGTTTACACAGTGACCAATTGATTTAAGCCACGTCATCTGGTTTGTGTTAGAATCGCCAATTATACAGCAGTTTTCGCTAGGGATTTATGGCAGGGATATCCCCTTTCACCCTGACCAGTCTTAAGTTTCGTTTCTTGTTTGTGATGTGGGCATAAATTATATATAGCTCTCCGCCAGGATTTTGTTTTAGGAGTTTCTGGCAAAGATTTCTTTTAACCCTTAGTTGACTACTGTGTGCAAAATGAGGATGGTCTGAATGGTATCTCTTGCTAGTAGCATGGGCACTGATTAATGGTTGTGACAAATATTAGCTCCTTAATTCGGATACCTATACAGATTCAATTAAATAAAAGAAAAAAATCAATTAACATGCTACTAGACACTGGTGCCCAGCTATGTGTTTTGGACTGTGCAAAATGGAAAGAGGCACAGGGAACCCCCTACCAGGTAGTTGGAGTGGGAGGCATCAAACGACCAGGACGTCTGGTCTGACCCATGTTCACCTTGCCTAATGGTTCCGTAGTAACAGCAGCCGCTGCAATACTCCGGGGAGGGCCGAATTTGCTGGGTCTGAACGTGTTGCAGGGGCAGCAGTTTATCTTTAAGCAGGAAACCTAGAAGTTTGGCTGCGCCATGACCCAAGAAAGCAAGCAAGAAAATGTGATGACAGTAGTAGCCCAATGTTCTATAACCCCCGCTCACCCTGCCAGCCATGAAGGGGGTACTCAATACCGCACACCTCCCGAAGCAACACAACCCATTCAAGACATTATAAACCGGCAGCTGGAGGATGGAACCATCATTCAAACTCCCGGTGTGGCCGGTATGTAAACCAAATGGGGATTAGTGATTAACTGTTGATTTTAAAGCTTTAAATGCCAACACCGACCATCTGACGGCCGCGGTCCCATCCATGCCTGCACTGACAGAAAGCATTAGGTGCCATGGCCCCCAGTGGATGGAATCCATAGACATTAAAGATATGTTCTTTGCTATCCCCATCCATAAAAATCACTGGCCTTTGTTTGCTTTCACGTGGCTGGGACAGCAGTACACCTACACAGTCCTACCCCAGGGCTGGGTGCACAGCCCCACCCTGGCCCCTGGAGTGCTAACCGCAGAATGGCTGCATCGGCAGCACAGGCACCCTGGCCACGATGGCACTACTGCCCTAGCAGCCACCTGGGGCATTCACCTAACTAAAAGGGAAGCACAGAAATTAGTCAACTCCTGCATCACCTGCCAGGATATCAAAGCACAACTAACCCCTGCCTTGACTACCTCTTTGTCGCTGCACGATGAAAAGGTAATATGGCAAGTTTAGCAATGTAACTTTAGAGACCCACTTCCCTGCACCCCCAGAAAGCGACAGTATGTGTTTGTAGCAGTGGAAGCAGTCACCAAAATAATATTCGCCTGGGCCTCTGCCAAGGCCACTGAACAGGACACCTGTGCAGCACTGGAAAACCTGTTAGCCACCTCCCACAGAGCTGCAAAGTGGCAATGGTTCACATTTTCACAACAGTCTTGTCTACGAGTGGGCTGTGAAACATCATGTGCTGTGGACCGATCACATTCCCTATCACCCGCAATCTAATAGACTGGTAGAATGAGCCAATGGTATCTTAAAGTGCAACCTATAAATGGCTGCTGGTTTGGCCCTCAAGAACTAGGACCTGCACCTGAATTGTTCAGTCAACTGGGCCAACAATCGGCCCCGTGCCGGAGGAAGTTTCGTGCAGCAAGCCTTTGATCAAATTGGGCCCTGTAAGCCAGCAATGAAACGGCCAAGGAGTGGCTGGGGGAAACTCCAGGCAAGAGACCAGGTAGTAGTTAGGTATCCACAGGGGGACAAATGGAAAGGGGTGCTAATGGCACGGGACATACATAATTCATGGTGGGTTTCAAGGTTAGAGCCATCTAACGGGAGCCAAACTCCATTTTTCCTTGCTCCTGCAGATTGGGTACTTCTGCGGGCACAACCATAGCGGCCCCAAGGTGGCCTGGAATCATCACCCTGCTCCAGAGCGACGCCACCACCCTCACCTAACAATGAAGAGGTGGAATGCCATTATGATGGGACTGCTGGTCATTTACTACTGTTTAATTACTGTGGGGCATTCCCATGCTCCCACACCCCAGATCGCACCCACTGCCAAAGCCTCAGACACACTGGAATACTGGGAGCACCCAGCTGCAATCGAAGAAGTGTGAAATTGGCTTTTCAGTCTCTGGCAGTGAATTGTGGACTGACAAGGGGGAATCTGTCAACGTTACTGTGGGACAGAGTGGTTGCTCAGTTTCCTCCCATATGCCAGGATCGGGAAAAACGAGTGTAGAACAGGGGAAGATTGTTATGGTTTCTTCCAATGGCCCTGGTGCTGTTATATTCTGCCTGCAGGTATGCTGCCCACCCCGGGTCCTGACGTAACCACTGCCGCAACCCCACCTGCAGCTCAAAATTCTACAGCCACCCAGAGCCCCAAAAGGCGACCAAAACCTCCGACCCCACCTCCATGGGAAACAATAGCTCCAGCAGTTCCCCTGCCTGATAATACTTTGGCACAATGGTGTACAGCTCACCAAATACACCGGTCCTCCAGGTATAGCAAGGTACTACGGTAGTTTAAAAATGGCTCTTATGCTATTAAGTAGTAGTCCACGGAATAAGAGGCCAACACGTCCCATGTTCCGGGTATTTTGTGGTTCCTCCATATGAATCAAGGGGGGCATGCTCACGGAATTAAATACACAACAGCTGCATATCGCCAATCAGTCTTGAAAAATCTGCAGGACACAGCCCTGGTCAACCCAAAACAACTGGCCGAGCCCATGGGGGGCACTGTGCCAAAATAATTTCTGCAAGATACCCATGCCAAAGTAAATGTTGTTGCTTCTGCCAACCATGTATATGCCACCTGGCAGAAATCATATTTGTAAGCCTTACCAAATGCTCCAAAGAAGCAAGGGGTAGATTGTGATGGCCAGAACCAAAGAGATTAATAAGCAATAAATATATGCATCTTGGAGGCATTTGGAATTTTTGCCTAATATAAAGCTTGTAAGTTTGTAACCTGCAAATGTAACTTGCCTGTCATAAGTTTAACCAAAATCATAAAACTAACTGTTTATGGAACTAACTAGACCCCCAAAGGTGAAGCTGTAGCTGCAAGATTAGCTGACCTAACCATTTTTACTTAGGGTTCAGCCTTAATAATAAAAACTAGATCCAACTGCCTGACACACCCAACACATTCCAGGAAAGCACGTCTCAAGAAAACATATTCAAAAAAATCTAAAAAGGTTAAGTAATGTTAATTTCAAATTTAAAAATGCTGTGTTATAATTTACTTATTAAATAAACACAAGTCTAGGTAGTAACCTTTTTATAATAATTTTTAACACCTTTCAATCCCATAGAGTAACAACTATAAAACAAAATTATAAGTGGCAATAAAGCCAACAAATTAACATAAAACTAAATACAAAAAGCGCATGCATCAGGTGACCAGGAGGAAGGAGGGAACAGAACAGTCATTACTGTTTCAAGCTCAGACTCTGAACTCCCAGTATGAGTGAAAATCAAATCTGAATCAAGGGATCTTCCCCGGTAATCCCTCTGACAGCATTGTTCGGGGACGCTTGACTTCAGTGAAATCATTTAACGCACACCTGGCATCAAAAAACTATCGATAAGTTGCCAACCCATGTCTGTCTATCTATTTTTTTAAACAACCCAGTGGCTAATACCCTTGCAGTGCTCAGTTGGCCTGTGACAGAATTAATCCATCTATCTGTTGTTATTATCTGTTGTTATTATTTACTATTAACTCTTTAATATTGTATTATTTGCTTGTCGCATTTATCTTTCTATTAACTGTTGTGTGTATAAGCTATAATAAATTTGCCTTTGCTTCACTCCCAATTCTGCCTCCTCGATCCCAAACCAAACAGCCCAGTGGCTGATACAGTTGCAGCACCCAGTCAGCCTGCAACTAAATTAATACACTCACAGTGCCCAGCTGGCCTGTAACAACTGGCTAACTGTATTAACTCTTACCTTAAAACCTTTCTGCAGAATAGGAACAGGGAAAGAAGGATTGGGTGTGGAGCTTAACCAAAGTCTAAACTGAGGGTCCATGTTTATATTTGGTTGGGTAAATCTGTAAAATATGATTGCATATTTTATTTAGAAAAGAAAATATTGCAAGCCTGCTAATAAACCATAAACTGGCCAAGAGTACAAGATTTGTACATTATCTTTTCACAAACAGAAAATATAAGTTTCTTTCCTAATACAAATGTTTATTCACTACTCTTAAATTTTTCTTAGAGTTAGACCTCTCTGATGAGTTAGTTTAAAATACTAAAAGAGGAATAATTTGTATCACAGAAACAACAGCCAAAGAATAGTTAGGTATCCTGGTTAGTGATAACCCAAACTTTGCTGGTCAATGGCTAACTAGTCTATAATAACTATGATTAAGTGAGCAATAAATGTGTAAACTTGCCCGTTACTCAAAATAGACATTATATCTGTTATACAGTGGCAACAGTAACAAAATGTCTGATTAAATGAAATAATATTATCCAATAAATAAATCAGGCTGGACTAATACCCCTAAATGAAAATATTTCTTGATTTCTCTTCTCAGACTTTATTTTTATGTTGTCATAAAAAGATAGATACTATATTTACATTAATTGTTTCATATTTGAATTAAATTTTATAATACAATATATGTCCTGAATGTAAATAAACAGCACTTACGAATCAACAATAGTACAAAGCCTGGGCATAAATGATGTAGCAAGGTGGCAGTTTTGGAGGAACACCCATTGTCCGCTCACAATCTGTGCTTGATATATCAACTCTTCAGCCTTGCTCCCCTGCCCACGTCCCAAAGAAACCATTTTCACATGCTTTGTGTTTCCTTTTAGTTCCTGTGCAAGGCGTAGGAGATGAACAGTTGGGTCTGTTCCTGAATTAAAAAATATGGATTTGGTTTATTTACACTGCTATAGCAGTTAAACTAATGATGATTTCTAACACATTTGGAAGTTTTTCATCATTAATTATTTGACCTATGAGAATTGAACTTCAGGTATTATTATTATTATTTTTGTAGAACTGTACATTTCAATATATAAGAGTCAAAAGGTATGGAAAATGTGCGATATTATACTCTCAACAATGCACTGAAGAGTAATAAATAAGAAAAATTGTTTCCCTGGAAATCTCATTTTGGTATCGCAGCAAATTATACTGAACAAACACTAGTTATACCACTAATCAGGGAAATATATATGTTATTCCACTAATGTTTTTCTATAAACTGTTTAATATTATTTTAAAGCTTGCAAAATAGTATTGAGCCAGATCTCTTATATCCATATAAAAGCCCATGAGAGAGATGAATGGAAGACAGTGAGCCTTAGGTAATGCAGAGTTCTGAAGAAGAGGGGCATGAATTGTTAAGCAGGTTACAGACAGAAAGGCATGATGCACTCTGGCAATTTATCAGTAGCTCACCAGGAGAATGAATAAATATTAGGGGGCTGCTGGCACAGGAATCTTCATAAACTTCTTTCAGATTAATCCCTCTAGTCTGAAGAAACCTGGCTCCTAATTTCTCAGTGACAAATTCTTGTACTGCACCATTTAAACTTTCTGGTCTGAGAATTTTTATCTGACAATAGAATATAAATGATGAGAAAACAGCATGAATCACATAATTTACGTTAACACTAGCACAACAATGATCCCTTTGAAAGCTGAAATGAGGTTGTTCATACTGTTTAGTTCAGAAAGGTTCTGAGGTTTCTGTTTGTCTGGATTAGTATTAAAATCAGTAGGCCAATGTACACATCTCACTCTACATGAATCTAAATGCATACGGAGGCAAAGCAATTCAGTACATAGAAACATGGCAAGAAGTACAGTCTAATGAGGACTGAGGTAGGAAACGGGGTTAAAAAAGGTAGTAAAGAATTTTATATACAAAGAAATTGGTATAGACAGTTATTTAAGAGAATAACCTTACAAAACGAGTAGATGGTAAGTTTGTCTGCATGTGAGCGTGACTGTGTATGCATGCATATGCATGAGTGAAGGATGGTGGGAGTGACAGGAAGCAAGAGTGAGACTGTCTGTATGTGTATGAGAGGCAGCAGCGTATTGCTGCAGGAATTAATTATGGCACATCCTTAAAATTAATAAAGCTAGGAATTGAAAACTCTAGCCCACTATATGGTTGTAGGTGAGAACTTGAGTTTCTCAAAGTAAAAAAAACAACTCACTATTCAGAAAGCACAAACTATTTACATTTTAAATAGCTTGCTGTGAACTGACTCCATTTTATTTGCTATAAGATTTTGTGTAAAATGTATTTTGAAATATTAGTGCTAATAAATCCCTCTCAAACCTGTACCTAACCAAGCTATCATTTGTGACTAATGCTTGGTAAAAGAATGTTTCCAACTCATTTTGTTTTCTTACCAGTATAAGTCTTTGAAATGAAGAAAGACTCTCCCAGGGAAAATTTACCAAGGCACTATTGAGATCAGTGGTTTCTTCCATTACTTCTGATTGCAGATCTGTATCAGTTATAGAATAATTAAACCAAGGTTGTGGACATACAAAAGAAATTTAAAATCATAGTTTAGCAATCTTACTATATTTTCAGTGAATATATCATCACAGTATTCATTGACCAAACAGCATAAAGATAGCTTTAATTTATCTTGTACGTTTCAGTGGCTCTATTAACACTATAGATGTTCTGATGCTACATTGATAACCTTTACATTTCTTGCAAAAGAAACAAAACTATATAGAAAATTTCTAAAAGAGTCTTGTGTATGTGGCTTATGATGTCCAATGATGATTATATCCTCTGTGTATGAACTGATCTAGAGGTGCTCCTCAACCCCCTTTATATTCATTGATGATCAGTCTCTTGGTGTGGTTCTGGGCTGAAAATGATAATTCTCAATGGACATTATCCTTATCTGCTCACTGAAATAAGAACACAACCATCTGTAGGGCTCTTATTTATCAGCTTATACTGTGGATGCCTGGACAAGAAACTGATTTGATACACATCTAGAACTGTCCAACTTTCAACTCACAAAAGATATTATATAAGTATACGACACTGTGTCCCCAAAACCTGACACCTACTTTCACTACAAAACACCAATAGGTCTTCAGTGTCTGCAACTAGCTGGCTGACTGACAAAAAAAAAAACAACCAACCTCTGGAGAAGAAATGACCTTATTGCCTTGAAATCTAGAAGTACTCTTATGAAATCAATGGACTGAAAATTAACCTCGTAGTCATCAATGGTTCAATGTCTAATTGGGAGGAAGTATCAGCAGAGGTTACCCAGGAGTCTGTCCTGGGTCTGGTACTGTTTAATATCTTCACTAATGACTTGGAAGATGGGATTTTGTGCAGGCTTAGTAAATTTGCGGATGACACCAAACAGAGTGGAGGAGTAGACACTTTGGAGGACAGGATTAGGAATAAGAATGACTTGGATAAAATGGAGAAAATGGTTCAAAATTAATCAAATGAATTTCAACATTGACCTACATTTAGTGTGGAACAATCAAAAGCAAATTGGGAATGACTAGCTGTGCTTCGATACAATACAAAAGAATCCGAGGATTATAGTGGACACTAACTTTTGCAAAAAGCAATAGTTTACTGGGTTCTATTAACAGGATTGTCACCTACAAGTAAATGGAAGTGTTTCTTTCATTTTCAGGGGTAGATCTGAGGTGGGGTGAGGGGTGTACTAGAGCACTTGCATCCCTCTGATTCCTGCTTCACCCAAAGTTTAAAACCAACTGCCTGGAGTGGCAGCAGTATTTCTAATTGGGTAGTTCTGAGGGAGTTGATTGACTTCATAGTTCATTGTAATTTACCTGAACCCTTCACAACCCTGCATCCCAAAGGTGTTAATGATCATCTCTTCTTTTTAATGGTCTGGATGTCCTACCAATCCTTTGTTCTACAATTTTGCTTTGTTAGCTGTTCCTGGTAATGAAGTTCCCTCTTCACAATCCTGCAGCTTTAAACTCATTCCAATGAAGTTATATTTGTTTTTACTTCAATTTTAAACTGAATAATACAACCCTAGGCCCCTAGCATATTAGTAAAGTTTCTAGTTATTTTAACTGGATAAAAATGTGTGTTGTTTTATATGTGATGATGCACCTCACCATCTGCACTCCCTTTTCAAAATTTAGATCTGCACATGTTCACTTTATTTGGCACCAGTGAGGCCTCACTTGGAATACTCTGTCCAGTTTTGGGCACCACCTTTTAAGAAAGATGTGGATGAGATAGAAAGAGTCCAGCAGAGAGCAAGAAAAATAATAAAGGTCTAGGAAACATGACTAAAAAGCCAAGGTTGGAAGAATTGAGTGATTTAGTCTGGAGAAGAGAAGACTGAGGAGAGACTTAATAACAGCCTTCAAATACCTGAAGGTAATTATAAAAAGGAAGGTGATAGACTATTTTCTGTGATGGCAGGGGATGGGACAAGGAAAGCCAGCCTTAAATTTCAATAAGGGAAATGTAGGCTGGATATAAAAAAAATATTTCTGGCTGTGAGGATGGTTAAGCACTGGAACAGATTCCCTAGAGAGGTTGTGGAATCTCCATCCTTGAATGTGTTTATGAGTAGGATAAACAAACATTTGGATGAGATATTTTAAACAGCAATGATTCTGCCTTGAGCAGGTGCTGGACTAAATGACCTCCTTTCATTCCTGTTTTTCTGTGGTTTTATGGATTTAGCTAGGTTGATCTTTGGAACCAGATGGAAGAATAGGTAAAGTATTTTCTGAACTAGCTCTGTGATCCATTCTTTTGATCTTCCCCAAGTTAGCCAGTTATCTATGCGTGGGTATGACTGAACTCCCTGACAATGAAAGTAACTCCTAATAGGCACTTCATGAAAACTCAAGGTCAAACAGGATGATTTGAAATTGACAGTAATTTTTCCTGAGTGTTGGTTGTACTACCCCTTAGAAATAAGCATTTTGTAAATTGAGGATATAGAATTGGTATTAGTGATTTAATGAAGGCATAATGGAAATGAGAATTATCAGATGAAATCTTAGGTGATTTAAGTATATGTTAAAACATATGATAGCTAAATGGGTGTCTTTCCTTTCTCTTCTTGAATAAGGAAGCTTTCTCTGAATTTTGAAGAACTCTATTGTACCTAGTCCAATTAGAAAGTTCCTATCTTGCTGTATGAGGTTTTTGAGAGTGGTTTGTTTCTGAAAAGGAACTACATTGGGAGGTGATGTAGAGGCCCTCTTGAATGACCTGCAAGACCCATAGGTTTCTTGTAATCCAAGCCCATGCCTCCTTGAAAAAAGAAGAGTGGGAATAGGATTGTGAGAGGATGTTTAATAGACTGTTCCAGTATGCATGACCATCTCAAAACAATTCTTTTTTCTGAACCTGCGCAGGCTAGGAAGTGGCAGTAAAGGATGAAGCTGATTTTCTCTTCTGAAATTTAGAGCTTCTGGATTTTCATAATGCTTCTTGTAGTATGAAGGAGGACCCTACTGCAACCTTTGTTTAGAAGAAAACTGTAGTCTAAAAACTGTAGGGTTTTTTTTTTAAATATGACATTTTTATGCTGACAACCACAAAACTTTCCTAATATAAATCCATGTGACTACTAGCCATAAGACCTGTATCAGATGCATCTAATGCTACCTGCACAGATATCTTTGAAATCACATAATTCTCAAAATATAGAGATTTTAAACATCTTCTCTAAACTACATTGAAATCATGTCTGAAATCTAGTATTGTTCCATTCCAGGTAATTGTGCTTTGTCAGTATGGCCCACAAGTCTTTTGCAGATTTCAAAATCCCTTCATTAATGAGAAAGGACACCTTATTGGTTGAAGGAAAACTAAAAACTTTGATGTTTTCTCTGACTCTAAATGGTCCAAAAGGATTTTTTTAGGCACTGGGGTACCAAGTGTGAAGATGTGTCTACCTGCACCTGAAATACCCAAATTTGTACCATAAGTTAGTACTGCATAGGTCAACACTGTGTGATGACACACTTGCTTTGGTGCTGGGTAAGTTTACACTGAAGATTTACATATGGACAGAATTGCTGATTTAGTGGAAGGCAAGGAGATATACATTTTTGGTGCTGAAACAAAAGGATGATGTGGTATTGATTTCAATAGTGCCAACTAATCTCTCCTTGAATACTTCTCCTGTCATTGCTCACTCATTAATTGCAAGGGGGGACTGGTGCCAGGGCGGCTGGCTAACAGGTGTGCTCCCCTTTCCTGCAGGGTGTGGAAGTAGCTGCCATGATTGCAATTTACATGACTTACTTGAGGGGTCTGCAAATTTGTAGGAAACACAGTTTTTTCCTAGACTATGAAGTCATTTATCATATCAGTCAGGCAAAGGGAGTATCCCTCCAACCAGAGGAAATTACTTAAAGCCTGGCAATTCAGGCTCTCATATAAGACTGAATCTTGATAACGGCTTTTCTACCTAAGCTAATTTTTAACAACCTTTGTTAATTTTTTTTTTTTGGCCAATGGGCAAAAAAATCAATTGTAAAAAAATATGGTAATTGAGGGACACAACAGTAACAGAATATCCCAAAGTAGATGCATAACCTGATTTGTTCCAACGCTGTGCCAATGTCTGGTCATAAAAAGAACTGAATGGCAACTGGAGTTCTTTATGCTCTTGAGAGGAGAATGTTACAGTGTGCACAGCACATATGCAGCTGCTAACACAGTCTGTCAGTGAGAACGTCTCAGATTTCTGTACAGACAGTGAATGTGCAGCATGAATAAGACCACATGTACAAAAGAAGAATGTAGCTGTTCTCCAAAAAAGTGCAACCCCCTGCCACTTGAGCCAATGGAGAATCTCAATTTGTTTTTAGTAGCATAGCCCATTCACAGCACTACAGCATGCATGTAAGGTGAATTTGAAATACTTTATAGATTTATGTGAAAGGTTCAGCTTAAAAGTAAAACATATGATGTCTGTGTGAATCCTGAAAATGACTCCCTTCTTCCCATCACCAGGCTTCCTTCACTTTAATTTTACAGTCTTTAGTGGACAAGAGTGATAGCTCTCATCGTTCCCTGTCTATAATTGTTTAATGATGTTCTTCTGGCCCACAACCCTATGTGACATCTATGGATGGAAAGCGCTGATAGGTATAACAGCATTGTTGCTGTTATACCTATCTCTTGTCTTGCTCCATCCCCTGTAATCTACTGGAGCAGTTTGGAGGTTAGTTATATTTCAGGATCTTAAGACTCAGTTCAGGGAGACTGTGCATAAAATTAAATAGCTAAGTAGTCCTAATGACTTCAGTAGGATTACTCAAGTACTTAAGTCTTGGTCTAAACTAAACCAGTTAAGGATGTGAACTTTTACTTATACTCATATAATTGCACTGGAAAAAACCCCCAGTGTGGTTGCAGTTATACTGCTATAAAAGGTCCTATAAACTAGCTTATTCTTCTTACTGGGTGTGTCTACACATGCATTTGATCCAGGATCAGTTTACTTCTGAGTAAACTATGGCTGCAAACTGCTTCCTCTTCCAGGGGCCCTGTAATGGGCCCCTGCCACCACCCTGGGGAGCTCTAGGCTCCCTCTGGGTGCTAGCTCAGAGGCTGGCAGGGGGCACCTGGCCTGGACATTACACATTGCCCCTGAGGGCTGCCTGCTACTGGAGTGGGAACAATGTCCCCCTGCCCTGGCAGCAGGGAGCTCCTGGCCCTGTCTCCCCCATCAGAGGCAGGGGACTTGGAAAGAGCTGCAGGGGAGCTCACTGCTAGCTGCCCCACCGGCAGATAGGGGCAGGGGGCTGGAACCTACCCCAGCCCTGCAGCAATTTTCAAGCCCCATGTCTTGATCACCCAACTTGGGCAAGGAGCTGGAATCTGTCCCTGCTCAGGACAGTTCCCAGCCCCTGCCCCACACATGTGGTGGAGGCTGGGGAGCTTGCTCCATGGCCAGCTAGGTGCTTGAGGAGCCAAGTAGGGAACCAGCTCTCCAGCCTGTTCCCCATCCAGCTCCGCGCTCATGGAACTGGGTGGGAAACACACTCCCCAGCACCCACCAGCAAAGAGCTTCTAGCACCAGCTCCACACCATGGGGCCTGCGCTGGGAGACCCTTCTCTCCCAGTCCAAGCTCCATGGTCATGTAGTAGTATAAATGGTATTAGTAGTATAAATGGTATTTATACTACTAATTTATATTTTTTAGTTGTGATATAGTTAAAGTGATATAACTGTGTATCTACTCAAGTTCTAAGTATCTTGCTGAATAGGAGTCCTGTAAACTTCAGTCTCCTGGTGTGTAAAGTCACCACAAACCTTAGTTCTTGATGAACTTACTTCTTTGCTAAGCAAAGTTTGGGATACATAACTCTTTACACAAGGATAAAGTTTAAGTTTAAAACAAAATAGAGCAAAAGAGTACTTTCCTACCTTGCTGTGATGATGCTGACATGTAACAGGTGCTAAGTAAAGAATATAAATTATTGCTGTTTAGGAAGAAGCTCCACTGTTGGGAATTTGACACAAGGGATTCACACAAAAGACTGAAAGGCTGCAGATGAGCGCTCATGTATTGACATTCCTTCCACATAGATTCAGTCATCCACAAAAGATGAGGACTTTTATTAAACATATATGAACCTAAGCAACAAAGATTATTTAGATCTAATCAGAACACATTCATACTTTGCTTCTTAAATGTGACAATAGCCTGCTAAATTTAGTTTGATCATTAACTAATGATATAATTGAGAAAACACAACATTTTAGAAAGATTAATGTTTACACCTTTTAGATGTTAAAAAGAAAAAATATTTACCTTATAGTAACTGTGGCCCTTCAAGATAAGCTCTCCACAAGTATTCCAGTTCTAATATGCATGCATCCCATCAAGTAATTTTTAACAGTATCTACTACCTATCTGTGTTTTTCATACACTCTGGATCCCTCGCTATTTTAAAGGAGGTATTGTCAGAGATTATCTAGGTCCTTTGCTTTCATTGAATTCAAATGGAAGGGGTTCTATAGTGGGGAAGGAGATGGAAATTCATGTGAAGAATCATCGTGGCTCTAGGGTAAGTAACCTTTCTTTCTTTGAGTGATTTTCTACAAGTATTCCACTCCAGTGCTTTACAGAAACTTATGCCATGGAACAGGTTTTTGGAATCCACTGGAATAATGACTGGAGGATAGTGCTCCCAATGCAGCATCAGACCTTGAAGTTTTTGCCAAGGATTTCTGCTGAATGAAAGTGAGAACTAAGCTATAAGTAACAGCTTCACCAATCAACAAAATGGGAACACTTCTCAGAGATGTTTAGTTTCTGACTATATTAACCCTAAGCTGTTAGGCAGATCAAAGTGGGGTGCTTTATAGCAAGTCTTAGTACAACCCAAGGCTCATTTCAACAGCTTTTGAGAAGAAATAATCTGCTTCTTCATTCTATGGGCAAATAATAAAATAAAATCCAAAGAGTGGAGTTAAGCTGCTCTCGCTATAGAATGATGTTTTGGAAAGACAACAAATCACGGAGTTACTTGATTAAGGTGAAAGTCAAAAGACACTTTAGTAAGATCCTAATGTGAGGTCTGAGAATAAGTGTATCTTTATGAAATACTGTATGAGGAGACTGCACCATAAAAGCCTGACCATCTTCTAATTTTTTGGCCAATGTGATAATCATAATAGAATACTAATGGCTTAGAGCTGGGGCCCATTAAACCTGTTAAGATAAATGCTGATGTTTTGAGATGTTGGAGTCTCTCTGACCAGCAGAAAGGTATTAATAAAATCCTTGTAGATTTAAGGCAGAAGACAGTGTTGCCATCCAGTAGGGATGATGAGTGATGTAACTGCCCAGTATGGCAAAATAAATATAACAGATTCCAGAGCACTTTTGAAACTGGGCTAGGAGTTGAGGATAGTAGCAGGCAGGGCTTTTACAGTTATCTGATGTTTTGCAGATTGTAGGTAGTCTTAGTGGAATCCTTTCTGCTCAAGCAAGGGTTCTCAACTTTTTTAGACTCAGGGCATCCCTTGAAAAATACCAATTCTTAGCTTTCACTTTTTTTGACTACAGAAAAATAATAGAGCTATTCCCTTGCAAAGAACTCAGAAAGACCACAATAGGATTGAATGATTTTGACACTATGGATTCCTATTTGAAATCTCTGTGTTTTTCTTGAGAATCATGTGTAGCACTAATATTGTAACCCCCCCCGCCGGAGGATCTTGTGACACCCTAGGATGCCACAGTACCCTGGTTAAGAATCACTGCACTAAAGGCTAGAATGTTTTGAATCACCAGAAACAGGAATAATCAGATATCAAATCAATTCCCCAAACTTGGAAAAATAGACCCTTTGGTTCTGCACAGCTCTCAAGCACATCATTAATCTTGCTGCTGGGAGTTCAGTGGAGGACTTGTTTTAGAACATGAAGTGGCAGACTGTTTACTTCTCTGAAACATCTGCCTTTTCCTTGGATGATCAAATGATCTCCATTATCCATATGATTATAGACTGTTTCCATTGTCTCTGATACTGTTAAACTCTACATACTTCTTTTGGAGCCAAGGCACACAAGCTAAGGAAACATAAAATGGCCTTTGAATTCTTCACTGAGCATATAGCCTTTCTATTTCTATTAAATAGTTTACAGCCCTTGAAAAAGGAGGTTCTCAATGATCATTTAGACCTTCTCCAGCATTCCAAGACTGCGAACAAGAGGTATTGAGGGTTGGATGGTTCTAAAAAGATGCAAGACCCATGGAATGGACCTGGAAGCAAAAGCCAACTTTCTTGACTGAGGCCACAGAAGTTTGAGTCTGATAATAATCCCGACTTCTTTCAACAAACTTTTCTTTACCAGTCTACCAGGAACTGAGGAGTACAAGTTGTCAAGACGTTTGTGAGAGTCATTATATACTACTTTTATTGGGATTTTAGCGGGGTTGACAATTAAGCTCTTGGAAGACTCAGTAGTCATTGGATTGATTTGGGACCATGGGAATCAGAGCTTTATCTCAGTAAGACAGAAAGTTCCTAGAAATGGCTACGGGTCTGGGTCCTGCTAGTTTTTCTATTCACACAGACCTTGTGGTTTAAGGGAGAACAGGGATTGCAGTCTGGGGGCTTAGATTGCTGGAAACTTGTGAGTGGATAAGATCTCCTGTCTCATGCAACCAAGGAGCCAAGCTCAGCATAGGATTCTGAAGGGGTGGGTTGCCAGGGAGGGTACCAAGCAGGAGAAGATTCATGGGAGTCCTTATGCTCTGTCTGGTGGAGATACTTCTGTAGGTCAGGGGTGGGCAAAATATGGCCCATGGGCCAGATGCAGCCCGTAAGGACATTCTATCCGGCCTGTGGGGCCCCTAAAAAATGTAGACAATTAATATTTATCTGCCCTTGGTTCCTGTCAAAAATGACAGGAATGAGTGGCTGCAGCATGTGGCACTGGGCATGGGGGGGGGGGGGGCGGGTTTCCCCCCCCCCCCCCCCATGCTCAGCACCACCTTGTAACCTGGCCCCACTGCCAGCCTGGGCCCCGCGCTGGCTCCAGGCTTGCCACTGTTTGCCATTGTCGCCTCTGGGCTGCCCAGTGTGTGAGCTGTGGGCAGGCAGCAGCAGCCAACACTGCCCAGCACGGCATGCGGGGGGGGCTGCAGCTGCTGCCACTGATGGGTGAGCCCAGAGCTGGTGGGGCCCAGGCTGGCAGCGGGGCAGTTTACAAGCTGGTGCTGAGCAAAGGGAAAAGCAGTCCCTTGCTTGCCCCATGGCCAACGCCCTGAACTGTAGCCTCTTGCAGCCCACATGGGGCTGCCTGTGCCTGCTCCAGATGGCCCTGCATGGGCTGCGAGCACCTGCAGCAGGGAGTGCCAGTCATGGGGCGGGTAAGGGGCCACTTTTCCCCATGCTCAGCAGCAGCTTCTTCCCTGCTGGCGAGCAGGGGATTGGGGCTGTGCGCTGCCCCCCACCTGTACCGTGGGGCTGGGGGGTATTGGGTGTGAGTTGGTGCAGGAGCTAGCAGGAGCACGGGGCCCACACCAGTGTCCCGGGGCCAGTGCCGGTGAGGCCCAGAGCAGGGTGGCAGGAGTGCGGGGTCCCAGCTGGCAGGGGCTCTATGGAGCCAGGCCAGCTCCCCCCTCTCCCTGCTGGTGCAGCCCCGCCTGGCTCCCTGGACCCCTGCCAGCCTGCACCCCACCCTGGGATATTGGTCCCAAGACATTGGGACATTGGTCCCAAGATGGTGACCAGGGGGCGTGGCACGTGTCAAGGGGCAGGGCTACCTATGTTGCCCTCAACAGACTGCTAAAACTGGGTAAGCAGCCCTCCACCCAAAATAATTGCCCGCCCCTGCTGTAGGTTGTCTCCAAATAGGCGCACACATAGGGATCTGAAGAATCAGGAATCCCTGAGCCTGAGGGAGATGAGTAATATTCTTCCTCCAATGAATGAGTAAATCTTTCATGTTATCTAGGAGGGCCAAAAAGGTTGTGGATTTGTGGCAGTGACCCTGCATCCAGTTTCTTGGGGCTGAAGAACAGTAGCAGAAAATCAGATGGATTTCATGATGCCGAGGCTGGAAACAGACTTTTTCAGTGAAACCTGATCAGCTGTGCTGCGAGATAATGTGATACAGCTATTAACACTCCAGGGTCATCTATAGGTGTCCCAAGTTGCTGGGCTCTGACTTGCGGAGTGTCTGTAAGCAAGGGGAAACCCCCCACTCGAAGACAGCCCCCTGTACTGGGGAGCGGGGGAATCCCCTGCAGGGAATTTCCCTGTGGCGGTATCTGCAAGAGAGTTCTCCTTCTCCTGCTTGCAGATATCCCGGTGGGAGAAATCCCTCTGCTGGGGATTCCCCCACACACACAGGCACCCTGAAGCCCCAACTTCCCCTGCTTACCCATCCCTGAAGGGACATCTGTGAGTAAGCACGGAAAGCGAGGAAGGCACTCCCAAGGCTTGAGGGAACCAATCCTGACTGGGAATTCTTGGGGTGTGCAGGACTGCACCCCTCAATCCTGTGGAGCCCTTGACCCAGGGAGGTTGGAGGGCCCAGGCAGCTTCGTGCTGCCCAAGTTCTTCTGCCATAAGCAAACAGCTGGCCAATGTTAATGGCTCAATTTAATACTACCTGGTGTCACAGATACAAATTTGAGCATTTGTGATATAGCAGAAGGTATGGAAGTCAGTCTGCTTTCACTTTGTGATGTCATAAAAAAAACTTATGGTGACCCAAAGGTCATGTCTCTTTCTATCACAGGAGACCTGCCTTTGAACAGATACTGCAAACAGAAGATCGGGCAATGGAATTTCTGCAATAAGAATTTCCAGTTGCAAAGACAGATTGCTAGCAGTTGTGCTGATGCTTTTGGTACTGAAGATCGGTCCCTATGATCTTTCAGTGCTGGGATCTTCAAAGGCAGAGATGAAGCAGTATGTTCATGCACTAAGGGACCTATTGCCAAGGGCTTTCATACTAGTTGCTTTGGTGCCAGCTCAGTCTGTACTGAGTACTTCAGACCACAGTTGCTGGTATTGGTCTTCTCAGGCTATGGACACATTCAAAAAGCCTGAGTCTGAATTGATTCAATCTCTGCAGGTTAGTCTAATCTGGCCAGACTGAACTGGTTTGTAATTGGACAGACATTCTCTCTGAACTGAGTAGATTCAGGCACATGCTTGCAGTGGTTCAGACTGGGGGATGCTAGAGCAGCTCTCCCTTCCTTTATACAGTGCTGAGCTGAGGGGAGTGTGGCCAGGCTCCGGCCGGACCTCTTATTAGGGAGATCTGCCTGCACTGTCCAAGGCTTTTCTCCGCTAGCTGCTCAAGGGGCGGGAGTGTTGCCAGACACCAGCCCCCTGCTAGCACTCTGAGGCAAGGGCGGGGGTGCAGTGCATGCATCTGTTGATGATACGGAGCTTTTCATTCTTCCTCCCTGCTTCTTTATACTGTCTGCAGCAAACTGACAAGCAAGCAAGTCAGCAGGGGGCTGATAACAGTGTTTATCACTTCATCAGCATAACAATAGCTTCTCTCTATTAGTTCAAACTCCTCTTAAACAGCTTACCAGCTGACCTGTTGATTAGCTCCAAAAAGCCGTAAGCGGTCACTGTTCTGTCTGCCTGTTTCAGTGAAATTGGAGAGAGAGACACACACAGACACCTTTCAGCATTAGCTAGCATACCACATGCCTAGGGTCTGTGAGGCAAGGGTCTGTGCTGTGGGAGATAGGAGGGAGGGAGGTGGGGATGCCTGCTTGTCCAGCAAGCAAGGGGGAGGTAGGGCAGGAGGAAGCCAGGCAGAAGCCTGCAGTCTCTGCCGAGCTCCAGCCACAGAGCAGTGTGGAGGGGCCAGCTCTGTTGGGGAACAGAGAGCACTGCCCAGCCCACAGAGCATGCCAGGATGCTGGGGGAGTCTGGTTTACTTGCTGGTAAACCAGCAAGGGTCTGGGACAGACATTGCATAAACCGGTTTGAGCCGAATCAGTTAAGTCTGATACTACATTCAACCAGGTTTATCTCAAACCAGTTTCAGCCATTTTCAAAATGGTTTATGTACACTGGATATCTGTTCTGTTACAGATTTAAACCAGTTTCTGATCACTTAAACCCTTTTATGGGTAATGTCTGTCCCTAACCCCAGAGGTGAACAGCAGTTGAACAGGCTTATACAGTAACAACTTGCTTCCAAGTTATCAGTGGGATTTATTCAAGAGCCTGAGCTGTCTCCTGTGTTGGTTCTGCTTGGCCCCTCATGAGGCTCTGAAGTAAGAGTTTTAAGCAGGATTTCCTAGACTTTTGGGTCCTTTTGGAAAAAAAGCAGTATTCAGATTATTTATGCAGCATGTTCATTTCCCCTAAACAGAAAAGGCACTTAGAATATCCCTCATTGATAAAATGATTCCCTCACAAGTGAGGCAAGGAGGGACTGGATAGCTGTCACACCCATTACACCTTCAGCTATAGAGTGCATTGGGTGCACAGGCCACAAGCATGGCCCAGTAGACACTGCTACAGAAAATATTCTGATACTGTGTGCATGGGACACAAGCAGACCAGGAATAGAATACAAAGGAATAATAAGCAGAAGCATAACTGCATTGTTACATGTTCATTACATGGTTCTTCCAATGACAATCATAGTTTCATTAGAAATGTTATTATAGAAAGAATATACCATGTCATTGAAGCCCAAATATTGTATCCTAAAAGAAAAGAGTTAGCTGCTATAGAATCATGATGATAAAATATTTTCTTGGCTTAAAATATTCATTAAAAAAAAAAAGCATATTCAATGTTATCACACAATCTAATATACAGTTCAATTATTTTAGTGTTGGACAACTCAAAACTGAATGTGGATATAAGCAGACTAGCCAACTGCCTGTCAAGAATGAGGGGGGTGTGGGTGGGGACAGAGGCCTGCGTCCGATCCCTCCTTCCCCCCACCTTCAGGGCTGGGCCCACTCCCCCTTTCCTCCCCTCTGCTGCGGGGCCGAGCCTGCCTCCCTCTCCCTGCTGCCGTTGTGGGGCTGGGCTGGGCCCAGCTGCCCCCTCTGTCCACTGCCATTTTGGGGCTAGACCTGCCCCCCCACCCCCTGCACTGCAGAGCTGGGCCCAGTGCCCCCCCTCCCTGCCTGCTGCCATTCTGGGGCCAGGCCCGGCTGGGCCCAGCTCTTCTCCCCCACCCTCCCCACCACCAATGTGGGGCTGGGCTGGGCCCAGTGCACCCCCCCACCCTGTCCATTGCTGTTTCAGGTCCAGGCCCACCCCCACCCACCCTGCTCCTTCCCCTCTGTCCCCACTGTCATGGTGGCATCAGGGCCTGCTCTTCCCCTCCACCACAGCAGGCCTGGGCCCATTCCCCCCTCCCTTGCGCTGCTGCTACAGGTCCAACACTTTCTTTACTCCCCTTGCGCCACGGTCACTGGCTGTAGCCTTGGCCCCACGCCATCCTCTCTATCCCTGTTGTCATGGCAGCGGTCTGCCACAGCACCGCCACCACCTGCAGTCCAAATGCTCTTGGACTGGCAAGACAGCCAATCAGAATGCGAATAAAGCATTACAGACAGACAGACAAATAGATTACAGCTTTTGTAATATTAGAATTAGTCAAAGTTTGCTCTCCAAACCATGGGAAACACTCAAATAATGTTTTAAATATATGTTTGTCACTTCAGCTCTTTCTTTAAGACAGGGGTGTCAATCTCATCCCATGCGAGGGGTTTGATCCAGAATGTGGAGCTCCTCCTAGGCCAGATCTGAGAGGCAAGTGGTGGTGGAGGCAGCGATAGTGGAGAAGGAGCTGGCACTTCAGGGGATGGGGCAAGTGGCTGGAGGCTGAGCAAGGCTGTATTGACACAGCCCTTGCTTGTCCCCCTGCTGCTGAGGGCCATGTCTAACAGAGCCATGGAGCTCCAGAGTCTGCATCAGCCTGCCCCCCCCAATTTTCTTGCTAGCTATTTTGGATCTGGTTTACATTAAACTTATGAGGCCCCCCTGACTTTACTGAAGTTGTGTATATGTTTAACATACACATCCATATATGTATAGTATATAAATGTTGCTGAAGGGAATAGTTGAGACATAACTTATACTGTTTACTTTCTGAGGCACATTTGCATCATTTACCTTTATCTTCAGACTCTGATTGTGTGGCAAATATCGTAGATAATGTGTGAGAGTAGAGGAAGGTTTTCCATTCATTTTCAGGTAGGAATCCAAGTTCATCATGGACTTGATTTTCACTATAGTTATTTTGCATGATTGTAGCACAGAGCAGAAAAGAGAAGCAAAGTTGGGCTTCAGTGAAGAGGGCAGAAGAAACTATCTGTGGAGGGGAAAATGTTCCAATACAGATACAGAAATAAGCTTAGGAAGTACAAAAACATTAAAACATTTCTTATAGTATTGTAAAAGGTTTATGTGTAACTAGATTTACTGTGACCTCTCACCTTATAAACATTACTTGTCAACAGGTCAATTATATTTTTAAGATGTCTATTAAAGTTGTCTTTCTCATCCTCGTATTTTTCACAGTCCTTCTGAATGAACTCCCTTCTGCTTAGCCTACTAGGGGCTTGTACTGTTCCAGATACAGAAGAAGTTGAATCTGACATTGAAATCTGCCTCTGAAGTTTATTTACAGACTCCACAGATTCTACAAAGATTTTATGGAACCATTCCAGTGAAAACTGATACATATAGTTGATTTTAACAAGATCTGCTACCACAAAGTAGAGTACAGCACCTCGAGTTGCAACAGGGAGATAGCTTTTGCGTGCTTTTTCAATGGTGGCCTCTGTTTTTGCTGATGCTTCAATGCGTTCAGAGATCTCTTTTGAAGTAACTTTTGTTCTTTCTAAGTTGTCAAGGAGGTCTTGGTCATCTAGTATGTGCCCTAAAATTAAAGTTTTATTTATATTGAAAATTGACGATACAAAGGAAGATGCATGTAATTTAAAAATAATCTAGCTAGTTTCATGGAACTAACTTCATAAGGCTTGTCTGTGGTCAGACCTTTAGTAAAAATTTAGCTTCAAGATGCATGTTAATATCAAAACTACTTCATATTTGTTATCTTATTTTCTTGGCCACAACTCACACCTTTCCCCCAAAAATCAGCTCCCTGAAATTGGGGTACATGTATTAAGCAGGGAAGCAGTCTTTTTTGATTCCTGCTCTGTAGTGAAGCAGCTATAGCATTACTATTCAGGCAGCTGTGGGAGTCAATTGACTTAGTGGCTCATTGTTCTTCACTCCAGAGGGGTTAACAACTGTCTCTCCTTTTAAATGGTCTTGATGTTCCACTAATCAAGCTAATAATTATTAGGGTAATTTTGCTGTCTGCTAGGTTTTCCTTATCTCTACCCTTTTATTTCATAGTCCTGGAGACTCTTCAGCTCTTTTCAAAATCATAGATCCAACCCTGGAAACCAGTCTTCAGCAGCAGCAAGGGTTTCAGCTTTAGTTAAGCAGAAAAGGGAAGGTAAATCAGTTGAAGATTAGGCTCTGTGCCTATTCTGTGCAGTCATAGCTCTGGAAATTTATTTTTTTTCATTCTGCCTTTCAAAAACAAGGTGCATATAATATCCTGGCATGCAAGTATGTGAGAAAATATGGTACTTGTATTTTAGAAGATGAAAATGTACTTGTATTTTTATATGGAGTTTATATCTCTACCTTGAATTTGAATCTATTTGTATTATGCAAATACTTATAATTCAGATTTATCTGCATGCCATAGATCAATTCTAATCCAGGGTTGTCAAAGATGCAGCTTGCAGGGTTGCTCTATGGGCCAAGTCAAATCTGCAGACCAGCCCTGCACTCCTCATCCAGCCCGTGGGGCAGCATGAGTTCAGTACCTCTGCTCTAATCAATCTGAATTTACAGAGATAATCCAGGCTACTGAGAACTTCATACAAAAGAGCTAGTAAAAGAAACTGAGACAAAGACTTATACAAAACATGCATTAAAAATAATCTATATCACTATACTAAAGGAAAGCTCATATAATTACATATAATATTTTTTCTAAATTTTCTTTAAACAGACGTACATGCTTTCTTTAAACTTTTTGTTTACCTTCTGCTTTCTGTAGCAGTGTCAGAGACTTTTGTTCCAAGTCTCGCAGCATGACTAGGTCAGCAGAGATACTCTCAAATAACTGATAATGTTGTTGCTCTAATTGGGGTGTCTCATGAATTACTACAGTAGACAAGAGATGGTCTTGCAAGCTTTGGAATGTTACATTGAAGCTGATCATTGTGACCAGGTTACAAACCGCTGGGAGGAAATGGGGGTTGGCTTTTTGTGTTGTCATGTATAATCTGAAAAACATGTTAAGTGTTAAAGGAATATGCAAGTAATGCAGCAAATCAAAATTTTCTCAAAATATACATTTTATTGTTTTGAAATTCAGGTAAGAGATTACACACATTAGGCAAGGTAAGGAGAATGACCATACTTGGCATGGAATTCTATTTCTTCCTGGTCATTACTAGGGCTAAAACATGGGAAGGCCCTCTTCCATTTTGTTGCCTGTGCATGTACTCAGGTATGTACATAGTTGTTGTCTATATGTCCAGATAGTCTCATCCAGGAACAGAACGGCTATTTGTGTGCCAGTCCAAAAACGCCATATAGATGATAAAAACATGGCCACTTGGATGACCAAGAAGAAAGAGAATTCCATCCTTTGCCTGTTCTATGAACGAATGAACTTATGACTTCACTCCATCTCATGTAATGTATGTCTGTGTAGGGAGACCATACATTCCATTTTCACTGGGACATTCCTGTTTTTAACATCTGTCCTAGGCATCATTTGAACAGGTTTGTTTAAATGAATGCTTTCATCCAGTTTTTAGAAATCTCTAAACTTCCCAGGGCATGCTCTGATGTGTATTTGAAGCAATTCAAGTTCCTCTAAAATCAGAATTGCTTCAAAACCAAGAACAATTCCAGTGTACAGTTACTCCCTCACCCACTTGCACTTCAACATACTGCAGCAGCACTCTCTAGAGCTCCTATCTCCCTCCTGCTCTCCCATTCTCCTTTGCTCCACAAGACTTTTCAGGCTGTCCTATTTTGAGACTCAGGAAATATGTTGACCCTATGTCTAGGACACCCATTGACAGGATTGAGCCATTTTTTTTCTGGTAGCACTGGCTATCCTTTTTCATTATTACCATGTTAATGCCCCTCACCCCTGGAATTTTTGCTGGAGGCTTCAGGAGTAAGTCCTGTCTTTTAGCTCTGGTCACTGGAACAGGTCTTCCACTATGCAGAAACCCTCCAGCAAATGTCTGTTAGCATTAAAACAACCACTTGGTAGCATACATCAATCAATTTGTAAGTTTAAGTCTCCATTTTAAAGGACAAAAATCAAATTTGAATTTTAGTAATTTACGAGACTACTAGGATGGGTTGAATGAGCAGAGACATTGCTAACAGAAAGAAAATGATCAGATAAGAAATTTCTTGAGCTGTTGCAAAGCTTCTCTGCTGTTATAAAGAAATTTATCAGATATGAAATGTCTCATTCTGTTGAACAGTTTCTCTCCTCATTCATCTAATGGGAAATAGTGAGAAGTCAATAACAGAAGCAAAGACGCTGCCATGAGGTCCTTTTAAGGGTGTTGCAGGGTGCCAGACAACATTAGCATTGTTGGGTGTGTAAGCACTAAGCACCTACACTGATTAATCATATTCACCAACAGTTAAATACCAAACGGGATTCACAGTGTCAAAAACATTCTGATCTGCTGTAGTCTTTCTGAGTTTTTTCCAACAGATGTTATTTTTCCATAGTCAAAAATAAGTGAAAACTAAGGGTTAGTATTTTCTGAGGGGTGCTTTGAGCCTAAAAAGTTTGAGAACCATTAGTCTAAACATTCTTTGGGAAATCTAGCAAATACTGTAGCAAGGAAATCCATTGGCTAAGTTGTGCATCTTAACCCTTGCTAGAAGAGGGTCCAAATAAAGGATAGCAAGAGATGTTTGTTATCTACTCATGACCTAAATGGGTGTCAATGTTGTGCCTTATGACAGTATTTCTGGAGTTTTTTCAATTTGTTTTTTCAGATTATCTACTAAAATATTTATTATATATTTTTAAGTTGTTACATACTTAAAGTTCTGGAAATGCCAGAATTGTAATTGTCCATGTAACCTTACTTTGCCCCTATGTTAATATGCCTTATAATATAGTCTTTCATTAAATGATCAAGTTCTATTCAGATCTCTGCCTTATTCAGTTCACAGGATGGTCTATACTCTGGGAATCAATAAGGGGTGTCTAATGAAGGAAGCTGCTTTCTGCTGCATCTGTTGCAGAAATTTGAAGGTTTGTAATAGGGAAGGCACAATAACATGCAATAACTAATATATAATTCTATAATTAAAAAAATAAATTATCATGTATATGCACAAGATAATTAAGGTTGCCCAGGCAAAACTAATAGTGGCGTTTCCTAACTTCTAAACTTTTTACATTGCAACTTTAGCATTCTTCTAATACAGCTTTTCTGTATGCAAGCACAGGTAGAACTGATAATAAGTTATTATTTCCTACCTTCTGGTGCCTGTTGTTCTCTAAATGTAGGCCTCTTGTAATATGTAATATATAGTTCAATCTAATAAGTTAGTAGCTAGAAAAATGCTGCTATTGAGGACAGTTACCTGAAGTTGTGGTTGTATTCAATTTCAGAACCTGCAATTCTGATGTAATCTTTACCTACTTTATTGTAGACTTCCTTTTTTAAGATTGGCTCCAAACTTGAATCCAATGTTTCAGCAAGATCCTAAAATCAATTAATATGTTGTCCATGTTGCAATAGTTATGGTACTTAATATGCCTAAATAATCTAAAATAGACTTCTGGAGTTTTATTGTTGAATTTAATTGATGGAAATTCACTTTTAAAAAGAAGCAATGCAGTCACTGTTTTATTCTAGTGGAAAAAAATATCCAGAATTAATGGGTACCATACAAGTGCTCCAACATGTTCCAATTAGAACAGGGGTGGGCAATTACTTTGGGCAGAGGGCCGCTTACTGAGTTTCGGCAAGCCATCGAGGGCTGCATGACAGGCAGCCCAGGGCAGATTAATATTCATTTTCTAAGTTTTTTAGGGGCCCCCCGGGCTGGATAGAATGGCCTGGCGAGCCGCATCTGGGCCCCGAGCCGCATTTTGCCCACCCCTGGATTAAAACATGTCAGAGCTGACTCAATTAAATGTGTCTGCTAGACCATTCTAATTAGAATGCTTCAGCATGATGCAGCATCACATGTATTCTGTGTCCTGCATTTCAAAATGGCAGTGGGAGTGCTTTAACTAAAACTACTTGGACGAGCTTTAGTTAAAGTACTCCTGTGGCCATTTTGAAACATAGGACACTGAATACACATGATGCTGTGGTGTTTTAATTAGAGCAGCTGTCTGGGAGTCGCTCTAATTAAACGCCCCCCCTGCGCACCTCCGAGTACATGTATAGAGACCCAATAACTCTAGGAATAACAGTATTCACAATGCTGTGACAATAACAGGAAACCCTTTTATTCAAAAATCTTTTGTAAAAATGTTTATAACTTTTTTTTTTTTTAACAAAAATATTTTTGTGGGCTGAAATCTTTTATTCTTGTTCTTACCACAAAGAAGCATACTGGAAAGATCAGTAACATAGTGAGTTAACTAAATGGGACCTTTTGTCAATTAAGAAATAATTTGTGGTAAGATAAGTCAAGCCAAGTTTATTTTTATAACTTCAAGACAGCTATGGCTCTAGTCTCAAAGAAAGCATTCAAGCATTTAAAATGTTTGAAAAAACCTGACATTGGAAATAATTATGGACTTAATCAGATGCCCAAGATTTGTGTGGCAGGGATCTTCTCCAAGTAGCTGTTCCCACCAAATTCAGGTAGGGCTGGTGGGATAAGCTAGGTACCAGCAGCAACAAGAGCTCCTGGGGATAAGGATCCAAGCAATGAAAGGGGACAAACATCATTTGGCCAAGGAAAGGCCCATTGTTACTCTACGGTTCTTTCAAAAATTGTCCTGTAACTTCCCACATGCCCTGTCCCTACCTACCTGGGAACTAACAAATGCACATAGGCAATGGCTACCTGCAGACATCCTATTAGAAAGACTCCTTTGGTATCCAATGCTGGGGAGTTGGAGTGGGGTGTTTGGGACCCAGAACCACTGGATAATCTCAGGTCTTCTGAGAAGAAGTTTTCTTCTGATTCACTAGAAATTCATGTGGCTGACTGATGGTTTCATGTATGCAAATGTTATCCATTACCTATCAGAGCCTCTGGTCTGATTTACAACACAAGTTTTATCTCAAAGTAACTGCACTGACATGGGTGAGGTTGCTTCAGACTTATACCATTGTGTGGGAGAAAAGAATCAAATTTCTAAGGTTTTAGACTGGTATTATGTATTAAATGTAAATGAAGAATATTAAAGCAAGTAAAGCTACAAACTATCTGATCTTCCATCACTTTCCTATTCTTATATTTTGGGTGATTATTTAAACTCCCTTTATTCTTATAAGAATTTCATTTTTCTAGTTTTTCCTTTTGTTCTTCACATAGAACTCATCAGACATTAAAGCCAAGCTACCTTAAGTAAAACAGATTCTCCAACTTGCACTGCATTTTCAAGAGTTCTTAAGTAACTGGAATCCGAAGCATGAATTTGTCGCAACTTGCTCCCTGCCATTTGACATATCCATTTACAAGCCCGTCTCTGTGGATCAATTAGTAAAGGCCATCGCCACCCATTCTTGACAAGAATAGCATTTTCAGTGGAGTACTGGTCCTGTGGTAAACCTTCATTTTGCCATTTTCTGACCTAGAAGAGTTTTGAGTTTCCATGTTTATTTTTGACAATCCTTATTATTTTATGAATAAATTAGTTACAAATAACTAGGCATAAAGATTTAAATCAAGGACACATAATAATCATAAACAGCTTCATTAAAATACTTGGCTCTTTGAATTTTACCCTCACTTGGAATCAGGTTGAGTTCTCAAAAGGGAAAGCTATCAACCACCTGAAAAATCTTGTAATGTGCTTAGTGTAAGAAATCAAGAACAAAATAAAACAAACCACTTCTCTTACTCTCTTATTCACTGCCCATATTATTACCTCATTCTTTTCTGTCATAGCTGCTATTAGAGAATAATTTGGTGACATGGGAATCATGTTCTCATTACACAATCTCAGACATTCATTCGCTAGCTGCTGACGATATTCTGATGTTAACACTCCACTGTAGACTAGAGATGCTGCTGAAATAAGGGCATCACCCATGATACCATGTAGCTTTTGGTCTAAATTATTAACTGCTTTCTTCCATCGCTCCTAACACACACAAATAAAAAAAAGATTACAACCCCCCCTACACACAACTAAATTACTTTAAATTTATGTTAATATGTACCATTTAATTAGTATCAAAGTTTACATATTTCAACTAAGCAAAATAGGAACTGTAATAGGGTCTGTATCTAGTTATCAGCCCACATCAGAAAAATATAAAAAAGTAAAAAAACTTTTGAGACTAAAATCTTGTATGTTCTGAGACCAAAAAGTAAGCCTATCAATAAATGAAAAGCAATAATACCATTTCATCCTCCAGAGCAGTGCTTAATACAGATGCTCTATTCAGGCGCTGAGTTGCTAGTTCTTTTCGAGTTGCTAGCATCGCTTTCTCAGCTGCACTCTCTTCATATCTTGCCTCTAAATTCCGCTGATGTTCTTCAATCTAAAAAACAATTAGCAGAATACAGATCAAAATTGTTATTGTATAGTTTGGCTAATGATTTTTGCTTGCCTGATTTACATCAGACAACTTTATCTGAATCATGAGAACATCTAGCAAGATCTTGTAGAAGATTAAATAGTTGGTCATATTACAGATAGCTGGCCAGTTGGTCAGGAATTTTTCAAAGAAACAGTTTCTTTCACTAGAAAAAGGCCAATTTCTCAAAACTGATTTTACGGGAAGGGTCAATTGCAACACATTTCTTAATCTATAACCTGGAAAAAAGTTTTGAAATTATTAAAGCATCATATTTTGATATTTAGAAACAAAAATTAATTTTTATTAGGTCAAAATGACTTTTTATTATGAACTTAAAGCTGATTATAGTAAAAAGAAATAAAAGGATCAAAATCAAAATTAAATATTTAAGAAATATTGAAACGAAATGTTCTGACTGACCTAAACTGAAATTTTTTTTGGATCATTGATAAATAAATATATGATATTTTTGTTTTTCATCCTACTTTGTAAAGGGGAAGCTTTTAGAATATTAAAAATTTTCTCAGAACAGGCAAAAGCTTTCCTGC